GGGGAAGTAGTTGTGCGGCAAATGATTCAACACTTTGAGTCAAGGCTTTTTTTCCATGTGCATGTTCTGTAATAGCTTTACTACTTCCCACACCCTTCTATTTAAGTTATTATATCAAGGCCATGATAATGGCATCAGAAAAAGCCACACAAAAAATCCCACCACACACAGGAAAGTATTTATACAGTGATTGGTTTGCTGTCCTAATAATACAATGCTGTCCTAATGATACAGCCCAGTAAGCGTCAGTCACCACAATTAGCATGAAATGAATGCAATCTTCTCATCCAGCTTCATTGACTTGGACATACTAGCATGTTAATTATAACCAGAAATAAACTACAAAAACATTTTAAGTGATCCAGCAACAGAAGTAGTACAAACACTTCAGAGGTAGAAGTAAATGTCTCCTGCTCACACCATGTTGATTCAAGCATTTTTATCACTGAAGAACAGGAAAGAACAAAATCTCTCAAACTTTAGGTTAGAAAACTGTCCTTCAGAATAGTTCAAATGTCAGCAATCAAAATTACTAACAGTGCTTTTAATAAACCTCTACATGCATGAACAAACCCCACCGAAATTCTGTTATGCCTTGATATGGTGGGAGAGGGGATGGCCAAAGGATCATTCCCAGTGCTGAGCTGTGCAGCCCAGCAGACAGTGAGTTGTTTTTGGAGACATAGGTTGCGAACAGGTGAAAATAAACAGCCATATAGCCATAGTCTGGTTATTCAAAGTTAACTACTGGGAAAAAAAAAACCAAACACTGAACTAGAACAGGTTTCTTTAAGGGTGATTTGGTTCAGCGGAAATATTCTTTAAACCTTAAAGCCAAGTATACTTAATGCCTTAATATAGGACTCCTTGCAGCCGAAAGTTTTAAAAGGCCAAGAAAGCTGATGTCTTCCTCTCTTCCAAAGCCTTTTACTCCAAATGCAACCACTTTACTTCCATTTCCAGTATCCAGGCTGCCTCGTTCTCCTTCTTTGGTCCATTCAAACAGAACATACTTGTTCCTCCACACAGTTTCCTGCCAGCTTCCCTCGACTCTCCACTGATGGTTGTTGGCAAACACAACCACAGAGAGTACCAAGGCAGAGCTGCACAGACATTATACACAAGCTGATACAATTGCTAAAAATCGTACATTTTAAACATATATGAAAGCATATCTCCATAATTCATCTATTTCAACATTTATGATCAATACTTTTATCTTGAAGGAAATATTAGGGAAAAATATGAAATTTACACTTGTCAATTTTAAAATGCAAAAAAGAGAGGTAAAAGGAAAAAAAGCAAGAGGAAGAAGTTTAAGCTAAGTCTCTTCCAAACTTCCTTGTACGGTTTTCTGCTAGCTTCCACCTTTTGCCTAAACATGGCATTAAAAAAATCCTTTTATATATGTCACAGGGATGAAGAGACCATACTTAACCAGGCAAACAACTTCAAGATTTTAAAATCAGACTGACAACTGCTCCATCACTTCACACGTAGATAGCAGACACTCACTTATTGCAAGGCAATGGCAGCTGATGATAGCTGGAATTGCCATTGTTCCTAGCCTGGAGGCCAAAAGTCGAAGGACGGCCATAAACATCCCAGAAAATAATGTCCTGCTAGTTCATGGTCTGGCACCAATTTCTACTTTATTGCAGAGTTTGATGCTCTAAGTATGAAAATTTGTAAATATGCTGTCACCCTGACTGAGCAGCGTTGGTGCAAATGTATTTTACAACACCTGCCTATCTGCAGAGCTGCTGAAAAAGAAAAAGCAAGTTTCAGCTTGATAGCACAGTCACATGGTCCCCATTGATTTCTTCTTATGAACAAGAAGTTTCATTTAACTGAATCCATTTTTTTGGTGTTAAAAAAATCCTAATTCTTTTTTTTCTTACTGTAATCTCACCCTTCTGGAGGTGTCTGCCACAGTGACCTCCCCACAGACGAGAGCCCTGCACGCTCCATCAGATCTCTGCTGCTGCCAGGAGAGCTGCTGCCTCCCCTCCTCGCCGGGCCGGAGAACACCACCCACGCTGTTCTAACACACAAATCTGTAGCAGTTTTCAAATAAATAGGGCCACTTTGCAGTGCCTCAGGCCAGCTGCCCTAATGTTGGCATAGGCAGCAACATTTGGTCACTTAATCCATTGAAAATCCCATATTCCAAGCACTAATTTCTATCCAGGCACCAATACTTCCTGTTGGTTTTTAGCAAAGTTGTTTGACCGTGATGTTCTGTTCCAGAACACAGAGCTACCTTATGGTTTTCTTTGTGATGCTCTGCACATACAGTTATGTACAAAGTTTCTCTCTTGTACTCGTCTGAAATGAAGGTGTCGGAAATACCAGATTCAGATTTCATTTGAGAAATATAAAGGAGGGGAGAGTAAAGGAGAGAAAGAAACTGAGCCCCACCACTCCAGCCCACCCCATCTACCCAACGCAGACTCTCTCAGCCTAGGTGCATGCTTCTGTTATCCATGCATAATGCAACAGAGAAGGTTTTGCTCTGATGGCACCACTTGTTTGTATATTTTCCATGACTTTTGGCACAGAAGTAACAATACAAGTGGTCTGAATGTAAACATCATTGCAGTAATTGAATAGTAGCAGGAGTTGCTTATAGTTGCCTTTTGACCTCACTGCAATAAAATTTTTCTTCACAGAAACTTGCTACCAGCAAGTAAATGCTCTGTTTTATGGTGGCCCTCAGACACTCACCCGCTACCTTAATCTGCCTGCTGAAACGGCATTATAGAATCACAGGCGCATGAAGCGCAGTGTTTCCTCTTCTACAAGAGAGTTTTCTTATTCTCTTCTCAGATTAGTGAAACAATTTCCTGGAGGTTTTCCAAGAGACAGCATGCAGGATACTATTGACTCAAACTGATTTAATTAGGATTTTCATCCTAAGGTATCTTTGGCAGCTTTACAGCCAACCAGCCCATACAACCTACTCTTCAGGCTCACAGGCATGATAGAGTATTGGTCTCACTCAGGTTGGTTGTTAACTATAGCATCAGAACAGGGTGTGTGTCAAAACACAAACACAAGTTTGTCTTGCAAGCACCAGGATCATCCCCAGCGCAAGGCAAGTAGGTCACCAAGACAACAACACCCCTGACGTCTGCGTTGGGTCACAAGCAAGTTTGAAAATGCAGGGAAAGGAAGCTAACACAACCAGCTCCCAAAGCTGGACCAGACAGGGGCAGAAAGCCTATGAGTGGCACTGAAAGGTAATAGTTCATTGAAGTGTAATTTGCACTTGCAAGGTAGCAAAGGTGGGGTACTAGCTTCCCAACACCAGCAACTGCATCATAAACCACACAGTGCCACTGAACTTTGAAAACAATTTAACCCGATATTGCCAAAGCGACATCAAATTTCTGCACAAAATCACTGCTTTCCCCTGGAGATCTAACATTCCCTAGGAAACGACAAAGCTGTTCAAGGACAAGTGTCATCTTGTTGCATTCAAGGGCAGAGGCCACAAATAGCTATACCTGAATTGCAAGTCATGCTATCATTGCTTTGTCTAAAGGGCAAGGAGAAAGATGTTGCCCTGAAGCGGATACAACTGGCTCTTAGCACTTGCTTCATGAAATGAAAACATTAGTGTGAGAAGAAAAGCAGTAAGAGAGCAAGAGTCATGTCAATCGATATTACAACAATTCAAAAATCAAATTCCAAAGCATCTAAACTCTAAACAAATTATTCCTGGTATACATGAGACAGCAGTGTGGAACTGATGGGGTGGCAGGGACAGGACAGGACAACCTCCTTCCTCAAGACTCTAAAGTCTGGGTCCGTATCTCCACCCCAAAAAACCACAACAATGAATAACATTTCCCTACCTGGAAACGCTGCTTCATTATGCCCTCTAGACCCCCTACGACAGGCAGTATTCCCAGAACACTGCATTAGTCTAACAGCTGTATCAGGTCAGACCAAAGGTCCCTCTAGTACGGCATCCTGCCTCTCACAGATGCCAACAGCAGCTACCTAGGGAAAAGACAAAAAGGCGGCAAACACATACTACATCTTTTTTCTAACAATCCTTAAATTTCATTTGGATTTCTAGACCATCACTGAGCCAACGTTTTCACGTATCTATCTATTAAAATAGCCAGATCCTGTACGCAGGTAGCAATAATGAGCCAGCAGCCTATCATTTACATGTGAAGCACAAACTATTTTTCCACCCATGTGCATCACTTTATATTAATCCACATTGAATTTATCACCAAGTCACTAATTTCACAAGATTCTTTTACAGTCCTTCACTACTTTGAAGAGTTTCAACTTGCCAACAAGCTGCCACTTACTAATCACTCTATTTTCCCAATCATTTCTTAGTGTTGAACAACAACATATCCTTAAGCACAGAGCTCCATCTCCCTCCATAATAAAAATTAACAACATACGCCTACCCTCCATCCCCAGCTCTTTATCCATATGAGAACCATTCCTTCCCTCCACAACAACTGTGCAATTTCTTTGGCACACTTTAGTAAAGGACATTGTCAAAATACATTTTTTGAATTCAAGTGCTATATTAATTGGATGTCCTTTTCCAATATATCTGTTGACTCTTACAGAGAACTCCAAGAGGTTGGTGAGGCATAACTTACCTTTACAAAAGCCACGTTGACTCTTTCTCAACACATTCTATTATTCCTGTGTTCCACTAAGTCTGTCTGTTAGAGTTTCTACTAATTTGTCCAGTAGAGACATCAGTCCTACTGGTTTGTAGTTCCCTGGATTTCTCCTGGAGCCCATTTGAGTCACAGTTGCCACCTTCCAGTTCTCAGGTACTAAGACAATTTTAAAATGAGAGGGTATATACCAGTTAGTAGTTGAGCAAATTCATGGCCAAGTTCCTTTAGATCTGTAAGAACTCTCTATTCATCTGACTGATTTGTCTACTTACTCCACAGTCTCTTCTGCTGGCACTTCCACATGAAGCAGTTCCATTAATAGGTCCTTAAATAAGAGCTCCCACATGCATTTCATGCAAACTGACCTGTGGTTATCGAGTGCCAGTTCAAACTGGGATTCCACAACAGACTTCCACCATCTCGAAGTTATCTGGATATTATGCTACATCCCAAAGATCTCAGTGTAGTAGAGCCTACATCAGCCTGCTTACAGTAAAATTGCTACTCTGAAGTATTTAAAACCCAGCACTGAGAAAGAACAAGAGAAACAGCTTTAGAGAAATAAGCCACTCCAATATATTCAAACAGCGATACATTAATTACTGTTGACTGCTGTGACTTGCTATTAATAGCTTTTGATTACAATACAGAGCTGCAACTTGATTGCTTTTCAGTTGTTTTGCTGTACTAGACGTATCTACAGCTCTTCAGTAACACAAATACTATCAAACCCTTCTGATCGACCTTGTATTAATGCCTTTTTAACAGTGCTTATGTAGTATATCTCACTGTATATGAAGAGATAAGAAGGTCTCCTAGCTGAAACACAGTAGTACTTAGGAGCCCTTTTTCTGAGATGGGGCACTGGGCTTTCATCTTTTCAGATCCAAATGTAGAATGGAGAATTATGCCATTCAAACAACATAGAATCATAGAATCATTTGGGCT